ATGCATTTTGTGGCTCTTTCGCAACTTGAGTGCTAGCGAGGTGTAACAATAATGCCACTTACTCTTATTTTATTCCCTTGCCAGCGGTCATAAAAATGCCATAAAAATGGCCGCACAATGCTGCGGCTTAAACCCTCAAGATTTGCTTTGGAGCCGGCTTAAGGATTGGCCAAAAACACACATCGGTAGAGAGTGTACAGAGTCCAGTGGGTAGCACTGGCAAACAAATCGGGCTTTACGGCTGACCAAGTGACCACATAATTACACTTTGCACTTGGCCACCCCCCCTCCCCAAATGACGGTTCGCAAGCCTCTGCCTTGCGGTGTGGCCAATGCCAATTATAAGCCTGGAATTTAACAAATTAAGCCTCATTACACACAAACACACACACACACACCTAGCATCTGACCGCAATCCAGTGCAGCTCCTGCCTGTTGACACATAACCCCACCCACATGACCGCCGACCACCACCCAGCGCCTGAATTCCGGCTAGGAAAAAGCATTATGCCTGCTTGTGGCTGGGCTAATTGCTCATAATTCAAATCGCATTCGAAGACCCATACCCTGAAACGTAACTCCCTCCACCGAAATGTGCTACATCTACATAATTTATTAAACATTTTAAAAACAAGAAAATTCTTTAACTAAGTAATCCAGAGCCAGCTTTAGTGCTTCTCTTTCCAATATAAGAATAAATTCTATATGAAAATGATTAATAGTACACATTTATAAACTTTTCTGCTACTAAGAGTTTAAAATCTGGCCCAAGTGTGTTCCTCGAGTGGCTTTAAGTGCAGTCATTCCAGAAATCCCTCAACTAAATCAAAGTTAAACATTTTATTAGCCTACCCGGCGGAGTCACAAAGCAAGTTTCAATTAAATAGCTGGCTGGCAGCTCCTCCTCCACAGGCGTCTCTGCGGATTTAGAGACGTCAAACAAAAGAGCGCCAGAATAACCCCAAGACCCGGGAGCAGGCCATGAATTCATTTTAAAAAATTGCAGCTAGAAAACAAAAGGACCTGCCATTGTGCAATTAAAATTGTATGGCACTGGGGAGACCCGAGCAGAAGCAGCTCAACTCGCAAGTTGAGACGGCAAAGGAAAAGGAGCTTTTTGTGGGCAAGGGAGGTGGAGGAATGGATCCGAGAAGAGTCGGTAAATGTGGGTGGGTGAGAAACACAAGGCAGCTGCCTGCCGATAAGAGAAATTAAAACAAACAGACGCCGCTCGCCCTGCAACTGTACAATCTGCACAATTTCCAAAGTGACACAGCACAGGGCACAGCAAATACCAGGACAACAGGACAGAGCAGGACACCCTCACAATCCAACCAAACAAAACCCAAACCGAACCCAACTGAACTGAACTGAAGCAAACGGAACCGAACCGAACCGATCCGAAGGTTCAATCCTGGCCAGCTGGCCATGTTTACGAGCGTATCATGACAGTTTTCCTGCTCTTACTTCTCTTTTCTTTTTTTTTTCTTGCCCGATTTTCCCGCTTTTCCCTTCCTTATGCTTACCTGCAGGTCCTTTGGTTCAAGGGGTATATAGGAGTCCAGCAAGGTCGTGTGTTTTCAGTGGAATTTTTGAATATTTTTAAAGTTTCAAAAATATTTGAACAATAGAATATAATAGTTTACATACTATATAAATCACAAAATATATTATTGTTATAGAATATTAACATACTTATGACGATAATCTGGTTTTGTATTATCTTTCTAGACATATTTCCAGTCTGTTTATATTTTATTTTTATTTTTAGGTTTTATTTTTAAATGCAAGTGCTGGGCATTTTGCTTTTGAGGCTCTTGCAGAACAAATTTCTTTACATTTCTTTCCCTGCGTGTGTTTTCTTCTGTTTACATTGGCCGGACCTCCTGCCCCATGTGCTTAAAGTTGTCACAAGTTGTCAGGTCCAGTTCAGTTCAGTTGAGTTGAGTCGGTCTTGGTGTTGGTTCTTGGGGAACGCCTCCCCCCTCGGGCAGCTGCACTTGTCGTGCTTCTGGAAGGACTCCCAGTCCCAATGATATCGAATAAGTTTTTCAATTTTGTGCGTTATTAGGAGCGATTAGAGCTGAATGCCGATGCTCACAGAACAGCCATAAACACTCCACATCAATTGGCAGCTGGCTTGAAATTGCTTCAGTTACAAGTTCTTACAAAGCTGAAAATAAAAGTTACAGACGGGATAAAAACAAGAGAAGGGTATGTCAAAAATGTCCTTGTTTATTAAATAAGAAATAACTATTTTTAATAAAATATTTAAATGTCCCTGCCTTTCATCTGCTTTTGTTAATTAATGTTCGGCCCTCTATCTGCGCTCAAGTTTCTAATTCCTGGCATAATATATGGCAGTGCCTTGGCTGCTGCTTAATGACAAGCTCTTAACGTTTTGTCTAATCCCAGGACAAATCTCTCCTAACTACGTCCCACGCTGCGTATGCGTGTCATAAACATTCCCCTCAGACCCAACTCAGCGGGCTGCTAGAATAAAGGACCGCAGAAATTAAAAGGACCAGAACCAACGAAATTGGCCCGAAGAGCCATAGCCGAAATAAAAGATTACGCTATAAACACATTTATCTGACCCTGAGACATAAAAACCTGCGCCCTCGATAACATTTTATAACTCGGCAAAGTGCCATAACCAAGTGAAACGTTCTCTGGCCAGGATCTGCGAACCAAAACAGCCGCCTCCTGATGAATTAAAGCCGCTGCCTGCCAGTAAAAGTTAACAACATTTCAACTTGGCGACCGATAAGTCGGCCCCAAAAACAAAAAGCACAAAACAATACCAAAACAACAACAGAGCAGGCAGCAGGGTGAGCAGCGAAAACAAAACCTTAATGAAGCATAAAAAATGTTTATGTCCATGGAAAACTAAAAGCTAACAACAACAGCGGTATGCAAAAATAAACTTGAAATCATTTTAGCTTTATGGTAAGTATATTTTTAGGCACATAAATAAAATTTACCATGCCACAAACAAAAACAACAAACAAACAAAAAAAAATGGGAAAAGGCAGCAGCACAAATAAACAGTGGCAGATAGGAGAATTTAATTGATAGTCCTGGAGGAAATCCAAATCAAGAGACGAGAGAGCCAAGATGAAGGCATAAATATTACGGAAAATCAGAAGTGATTATGATGGACTTGGGGATACTCTTTACAGATAATTTTAATAGAAACTATTATATACATTTTATGATAATTAAATTGCACCAATAGTTGTTAAAAACTACTTTAAATAACACCAAATATTATAATTTAATGTATATCTATCATTTATCTTTAAAATAGTTAAATTTGAAATTAAAAATGTTATTAAAGTATATATAAAATGAATGCAAATTTAAATAATTATGAATTAATATTAATAAAAATTAAAATATATTTTAAAGTTTATATTTATTTGATTTCCGGTTTGGAAAATGTTATTTTCAAAACAACTATAGTAAATACATGTCCCTTTGAAAACAAGAAAAAACGGTTGATCAAAGTGGAAAACGTTTCCCCAAAATTACATAATAAAACCCTATCCCAACTTTGCATACCCTCCTTTTTGCCACAAAAAACAAAAAGAAAAATAGTAAAAACCGGAACCGAATGAAATGGGGGCAAAACATGGCAGGAAAAAAGTGTTAATGAACAAAATAATGAGTTCCAGTGCCGAGTTTTGGGCCACAAAACATTTTATGACACCAACAGCAAAACACCAAGGGGACGGAGACCAGGCCAAGCCAGGACAGTCCAACCGAAACAGAAAACCAGGGAAAAACAGGAAGGGCGGGGGAAAACCCCTGCGAAACCCACCCACTCACCCACAGAGAGAAAGTCGGAGTCGCAGCATGAAGCAATAAATAATCACCAAAGTTTCGCTGAATCGAATTATCACCCCCTGAGGTGTAGTTCCGTAATGAATTTGTTTTTTGGGGTTTAGTCCCTTCGCCCACGCCCGGCATTTAGTTTCATTATGGTTTGCCTTTGGGTACCCGAGATTCTGCGACTGCGTGACCCAACTCCGGACACAAACTAAAACTGCAACCTCGGATTCCGTTTGTTTTCCGACTGCTGCTTTTATCCGGACTTGTGTGTTGTTGGTTGTTTGGCTTTGGTGTCCCACTTTTTTCCGGGCTTTTCCTTTTTTTTTTTTTGTTTGTTGTACAAAGCCGTGCTGGCAAATACATTTGATTTGATGTGCATACGAGCACACTGTCACTCGCTCATTTGTTTGCATTGAGGTTTTCCGATTTGCTTGCTTTTCCTGCTTTTTCCAGCAGCTATTTGATTTTAGCCATGGCCCAAATTACAATTGGCATCTGCGGCCAAAAAAACAAATCCTGCGAATGGAATTTAAATTGAAATTGGAAGTTGTCCCTTGTAGCTATGTGAGAATTTTCACAAGTTTACATATTTCTTTATCCCTTTTCTGCTTCTTTTTAGGCAAACATTTAATGAATTTTACAAATACCATAGTTTTTATCACTAAATGATGGGTTGCTTTAAAGTTTTAAAGTTTTATTTTATATTTGCAGCGTATAAAAGATATCCTTTTTATTAACAAACATTTTATTAACTTTAAAAATTTAATTCTGTTTTAATATTTTTTACAATTACAAAATGTATAAATCTAAGTATAAGAGACTCGGTTGCCAGTATAAGAGATGCGCTAAAAGATCCCCCTTAAATATCCCTTATTGTGTTTCAAAACCATAATGATACATAGAATAATCGACGTGTCTTGGCTTAGAAAATTTGATCTTGTGTGTACCCTAAAAAGTGAAATATATATATGGAAAAACAAGATAAGAGGCCTTTACTAAGAAGAGTTCATGTCTTGTAAGAAGCCATTCTGATTAGACATTGTTAACGTAAATAATATGGATAAATATCCCTAAGCTTTTATTAAAGCGGAAACTTATGGAGAACCGTATTCACAATTAAACAAATTTTATTAGATTTAGTTAAACATATAAAAACCGGAAAAAAGTATAAATAAAATGATCTCCTCATTCGCTTCGAGTACATATTTATTCTCAGTTCGTATACCACTAAATTACATAGAAATTGCACAATTATGACTAGAATTTTGTTGTATTTTATAGCTCAGTTCGCTTCGATGGTGAAGAAACGCAAAGTGCCAATTTGGCTGGTGAAGCAAGCGACATAAGGGATTGTCAGGATGAAGCACATTTGGGTTCGCGTGCCTCCCTTGACAGGAAAATCCTCACCGGTCCGCTGACTATAGGCAGCTGCAAAAAGAGTAATTATATTAGATACATTTTCCAGAAATCAAAGTCACAAAGAATACTTGCCACGTATTTGGGAGAGCGTCATGGAACGTTGCGGTGAGTCGTTTTGGGCATTTTTAAAGATAGCCTTCAAGTCGTCGTAGATGTTGGGATATTTTCGCTTTACTTTATTGAAGAAATCGTCCATGGCGGCCAGTTTGAAGGGTTTATTATTAACAAAATATATATATTTTGTTTTCGAATTGATAACACGTACACACGTGTGGCCTCTGCAATCGGCCACTGCAGTCTAAATTTGGTAAATCCGGAAATCAGACGGGGCACCGAAAAGAAATAAACAAACAGAATAAAACCGGTTTCTGACGAACACCACACCAGCTGTTATCACTGCACTTTTTCTCTAGCTCTCTTCCTCTCGCACTCCTTTGTTTTTGTCTACCTCCCACTTTTGGTGGTGGTTTTCCCCCTCCCTTTTTCCGATCACTATTTTGGTGGTGGAAAACCCAACCAACCGAGAGTTGAGAATAGTTTCTCAGTCTTAAGCCAAGACCCAAACCGACAGCCATTCAACTCTTATACAGATGAAAAACTTAGGAGGGAAATGCAGGGAAAACTGCAAGCCACTGACCGAATATTTAACTAAATTATTTTCTATACATTTTTAATGGGTCACCCAACCCTTAGCCAACCATAAAAAAGAAACTTTGCGTCTCGTTTTGTGACTGTCCTGGGGCAATATAAAAAGAAACCGCAACACAAAACAAAAAACGGCAACCGAAAGAGCAGGGGAAAAACAAGGAAAATGGCTTCACACGAAAAAGTTGTGCTGATTTTCACACTTGCGGCAGGCGAAGTAAGAAAATAATTACAAACTTCGGGGCAAAACATCAAGACCAACAGCAGAAAACAGTATTAAATTCAAATTATTTACAGCACTTTATTTTCCACGGCAGCACAAAAGTCGCCTTTGTGCCCGGGAATGCCCGATGAACAACACGGGCGAAAATGTGCATGCAGAAATAAAGGAAAACTTGACAAAGTCATTTTAATTTAAGTTGTGCAACATTTCAACACTTTTGCAAATAAATTCAGGAATGGCCTAAGGCTGGGCAAGGAGGAAATGCAGATGCCATGATTTATACACAAGTTGTTTATCAACACTCGAAAGTTTTGCCATTTCTAAGACTAAAGACTATATTTTGGGTGACTCTTAATTAATTTTATATTTTCAAGCATCTCAAATAATATAATATAAATATAAGTACAACTATTTCACACCTTTAGTTCATATATCTATCTCTTTGTTAGACTACAAATTATTTTAAAAAATATGTATAAGTAATTCCTGAAGAAACAGTACATATTTAAAACTACAAACGAAAAACAATAAATATTTGTTTAGACATTTAAATAATTCCTTAAATGATATTCTTAATTCAAAATAAGTGACAACAAAGAAAGAATAGTTAGTTATGTTTACTAATTTATTACTTATTTCATTTATTTTAGTTCACAGAATATATGAAGCCAAACCCCCTTGTCCATTTTATCATCTGTTTAACAAGTTGAAAATATATATATGAGTAGGGAAAATAGAAAATAATTCCCGGCTTATTTGCCGTCATAATTTGAAGCTCATTAAAACCCATTCGCTGCCAAACAAGGGTTACAAACTTTCAAAACTAAAATGCGAACGCACTATGGTCCAGCCGACCACTTTTTTTGGCCAAAATTAATAACTTCGTCAATTTAAGAGATATCAACTTGAAACTTTACCAATCGTAAAATTATACTTATAGGATGATACTGGATCAAAATTATCCGGATCAGGAAACTATATCCTATAGCTTTCATAGGAACGACTTAGAAATTTTTAAGATAAATTCACAAAACTTCGGTTACTTCAAGATTAAGTCATTTTAACTACATTTTAAAAATTTTATAGGAATCGGATGACGAATTCCTATATTTTACATAGAAAGAATCGGAAAATTGTCCTCTTTTTCCTTATAATTGCATGAAAAGTGGGTTATAAAATCTTTCTACGATTCTATATTTTTTTTTACATTGTATTTTATTAGAATAACTATATTTGATACATTTTGTTGGATATTTATTAGTTTGCATGAGTATAAAGACGTTACTTCAGCGTTTTAATTGACATTTTCATACAAAATATAGGCATCTTTTATTGCAAATTTAAAGAAATGTGGTCAAATGTGGCATTACTCACTATATGCAAATAAACAAGAATTAATTACTCTACAACACATAATAGGTTTCAAGGTTGGACTAGGCTGGACTCACTTTAAAAAACCTTTTTGAAAATTACATTTAAAATAAAATTTTAATATTTTAGATGATAGACTTTAACACCAAATTAAAAAGACATCACAACGACTTAAAACATTTGACTATATAAAACATGTAGTACAAATCCCACTGATTCAAATTCAAGTTAAAAAATTTAACAATTATTGTTTTTTCCATGACTTTTTTTAATTTAAGAATTGTATTAATTTTCGCACTTATAGTCTTGCCGTTCGCTCGTGTGCAATCAGCTGACTTTGGAAGACTCTTGTGCGAGAGTGGCGCCACCTGGGAAGATTTCGAGAATGGCACGCTGATGGTCACTCTATTTCTAATTAATAGAGACCAAAATAACTTTATTTGGTAAACTTTCAAAAAATGGGTTTTGGCCAAATAAAGTGGTCGACTGGACCATAGTGGAACGTTGCCATGAGCACACACGCGCATCATATCGTATATCGTGTGTGTGTGTCTGCATAGTGCATTTTGTGTGAATAAAAAATGTGTGTGCAACGAAAATGAAATTTGCAACGGAAGTTATTTCACGCTTTGGAGAGCGAACCCAGTGCTCTGCGATTTTCCGCGCTTTTCTCCCGCGTTTCCCCCGCTTTTCCGGCCCCGCGTCACGTCAAAACTATGCAACGAAGTAACGAGCTCCAGGAGTTAGAGTTGAAGGAATTAAGCAGCATAACAGGCTGTCAGTGTGTGTGTGTGTGTGTGATACGGACGCCCACTCTCACATCCTTCGTAATTGGTTTCAAGTTGCAACGAAAACAGGGCAACAAGTTTAATTAACATAAAATATGAAAGGGCTGCGAATATAAGCCAGCAAATAAATTCTGAGTGCCGTCCAGGGAAGTGAAATTTATTGTTGCATACTGGCAGCAGCTCAGCACTCCTGCCACGTGAGAAGATCCCTACAGTTTCCGCCACAAGGAATATTTTAAAGGAAAATAATCAAAGTGAATAAGGCCAAAAATTTTCATCAGTTGTAGCTGATGCCGGAACGTGTGGACTCATTTATTAATTCCATGCCATTTGTGCTCTTGATTTACGCCCCCCACATAAATACCGTAATAAATGGAGCTGCTGAAGGATATTGCCTTTTGCCGGACTTTTTCCCTTACCACACTCACACACACACACACACACACATACATAAAACCCATACACACACTCATATCCGGCCAGCTGGGCAGAAATTTCCGATTTTGCATTAATAAATGCAATTTCTCCTGGAACACTTTTTGGGTCAAGAGTTTCTACGATTTCGATTTATTTCCAATTTGCGTTGAGAGGCCAGTTCCCCCGGGTGTACATATGAACATGTTTGAATAAATGAAGCTGGAGTTTAATGTGGAAATTGATTCAAGGCAGAATTTGTAAATGTTGCGGCTGGAAAAATATAATTCAGAATGTTGAAAGCCAGTGAAACTAAGTATTTTATTCTCTCAAGATGTGTGTGTTTCCTTGCCTAAAATATTTTTAAGATCTATTCATGGTGCTTTGCAATCAAAATGTTCTACGTAAAATGTTTATCTGGAATCGAGTTTATCAATTAAGACACCCAATGGCTGTCGAGTGACACAGGAAAATGTGTGTAGGCTTGCAGTGTTTGCAGTATTTGGGCGACAGCCGAGATGCTTAATTGAGTGCACAAGGACACGCACCAGGATACAAGCACGGATGCAAGCACACACACACACACACGCCAAATGCAAACACATCTCAACACCTGAATGTCTTTGAGGATGCATCGAATGCTTGGGGTTAGTGTTCTCTCGGCTCTGGTCTTCAATTCAGCCAACAAATGTCTCCTCTTCGAGAGCAATCAATTTCAACTAAATGCCGTCTTCATGCATAATTGCTTGGCATTGTGTGTGTGTGTGTGTGTGTATGCACAGGATGCGAGTCCTGGCTGCGAGATAGTGCGAGTGTATGTGGTCGGCGGTGTGTGGTGCACAACGCTGCGTATACTTATCGAGCATGCTTAATATGGCAATTAAAAGATGATTCCAATTAAGGGGAAGCTGTGTGCTGCGTAATCACTGCACAATATCGCCTTGTAGTGCACAAATCGCGTTAGCAGTAGAGTCCTTTTAATTGGCTTAATAAACTGGATATGACGGGTCAAGAAGAGTCCAGCCGCCAGCATGAAAATTGCAAATTAGATTTAATTGAAAGAAATGTTCAGCAAATGATTTGAATGGTTAAATGAAATAGTTTGTAGCCATAATGAACGCCTGAGGCTTTTCATCTTAATTTTCCCAGGATTCTTATTGATTGGCATCCTAAATATAGAAGCAATTAAAAAGAGTTTAAATTAAATGCTGCATACAATGAGGAATTAAAAATTAAATTGAAAAATAAACGGCAATAGATTTAAAAAGAATTTAGGCATTTAGGAGTTATTCTGGAAAGGTAAAAGATGCATTTAAATAAAGCCTAGGTTTGCCAAGAATTTCAATTAAATTTCACAAAAGAATAAAGGTTTTTTCATTAGTAGATATATTTATTAAACAATTTTAATAAAATAGCCATCGCCCTTTTCCCGAATACAAAACAAATACTGCAATACAAATAGTAAAAGAAAATTAGTTTACTAGTTTTTGCAGCGACTAAATAATTTATTAGCCTGTCATAATCTATAATTAAATCGTGTAAGCTGTCGCTACCGTTTATGCGTTTGCATTAATATTAATTGCTAATATTTAGAGCTTTTAAATAGCTTAATTAAATTGCCACTTGAACAACAAAAGGAAATTAGTGCCGCAATGCGTGTTGATTCCTTGTAATCAGCGGGTAGGATTTTTCTCTATTATAAAAAATAATTAACGCGCCGCAAAACAATTAATCAGTGACTCTGGAAAACACGCAGAGTCTCGTGTTCATAGACTGTGCAATTTACATAAATTAAACAAACTAAAAATGCCATCAACATAATTAGAAATGTGATATGCTGGAGTCCAGTGGATAATTTCGAATTGATTTATGCAAATTACAAAACCACAAAACAAAATGCAAATACAAGCCAAATATTAAAAATGCGACATTGAATA